ATATATATATATATATATATATATATATATATATATATATATACACAGAAAGGTTAAGAGTAAGGGACACTTCATACTTTACATTGTTGTTATATTTCCTTCTCTCATATACACAATAAACACATGACAAGAGGAGTAGATTATATCAGTTATGAAAGAAGTTAGCTTTGGGTTCCTCTTTTAACAATTCAACGTCTTTTACAATATAAAATAGAGCTGCAACAATTAGTCGATTGAAAAATAATCGCCAACTATTTTAGTAGTTAAAGTACATATATTGCAAAAATGTCAGAAAATCCCAGTTCCTCAGACATTTTATAGACCAAACGGTTAATCAAAATTTAAGAAAATAATCAGCAAATTACTCAATAATGAAAAAGATTGTTAGCTGCAGCCCTGTAACAAAAAACAATGACTTAACAATCTATATTCACTGATGTCTTAAAATGTAAACACACAATTTACGACTTTCCATACTAATATTTTACAAATGTGAATTAATAAATAAATAAAAAACAGATTAACAACAAACCATAATGTATCACTTCGATTTGATTTGTATTTAAAGTTCCAGGTGTGGTTGTTAAATGTCTTAGTTCAGAGTAAATTTATGTTTAAAACATCTGTCTCTGCATCACACAGCAGACAGCAAAACCATTCAGTGCTGTATTGTTACTAAAGCACCCGTCAGTGTTCCCATCAACTTCCTGCATTGCAAATTATTCTTGAATTTGTACCACCTCCGAGAAGAATTTGCCTTGTCTCCTCTTCTCCTCTGTCTTCATCTTCCTCACCTTCCTCCTCCTCTTTGGGACCCATCCAGATCCGTGGATAGTCTGTCTTTCTGTATTCACAACTGTCTTTGGATGCAGTTTCAAGAAGGATCGCAGGCAACCAGTTTTCTTTGTAACCTGATTCAAGTGTGGCATCACTAGATGGTGTGTTCTTCCATCCCTGGTGGAAATAAGGAGCAACTGGTTGCGATGGAAAATAATGGGTGTTGCAGTAGGTCTGGGTTGGTGTGGTTGCACTGCTATCGTCACACCCTGAGTCTGACAACTCTGAGCCGTCGAAGCTCTTCAAGGATGCCAATGATGGCCCCTCCATCTTGGAGTATATGAGGTCAGATAAAAGGAGTTTCCTCTCTGGGTTAAAGGGTGGCACTGTGTCATCTGTGCTGTTCTGTAACTGAAAGATGAGTGAAGGCAACACAAGTTGGCCATTAGCAACCCGCACTGTTTGCAAAACCAGTGACCTGCCTGGATCGCTCACACAAGGGTCCAGATGAGGTAACGGTCGTACTCTATTATCCCAGCTTTCTCCACTGGAAAACATTGGTAGGTTATTGGTTTCTCTGTTGTCATTGGTAGCCTGCTGAATGTCTTCATTATGTTCATGGACAGCTACCACACTGTAGATTTCGGAGGACTGGGCACTTGTGTCCTCTGGATTTGGGGTCAGGCTGTTTTCACCTGTGCCAACAGAGGAGCCAGTGCCGTCTTGGCAGGCTTGGCAGAGGATGTCTTGGGGGGAATAACCTCCAGGCCTAACTGAGGGCATATTAGGCTTCGTCCGGATCGTTGTGTAAAGGGTTTGGTCACAGTTAATGCAGACCTCCACTTTGGAAATGATGAGATTCCTGTCTAGAGACTGCAGTACTCTGGTTGGGGTGCTGGAGGTGGTTACCTGTTTTGAAGAGAAGGAATACAGACTTATCAGTACATATTGGCTATATACTGTATATATATATATATATATATACATATATATATATATGCTTAGTGTCCTGCTGATCTACATCAGGTAAAACATTTGATGATGGGTTAAACATTTACACACATTTTACATTTGTTTTGATAAAAAGGGCAAAACCAATAATACACATGTAAGATACATGGAATGTTTTGAAGAAAAAGTTGCCGTTATCACCACATTGCATTTGTTATCACTGAAAGCAAACATGAGTGAAACAAACTGAAACAACTTCCAGAGTATTGCAATGTCTTTAATTACTTTTAGATTGCTGTGACACATATGTACCTTGGACATGTGCACAGTTATTAAAGTGCCAGAGAACGTCATTTTCCAGTAAGTCAACATTTCCTTGTAGACACACCAAAGGACACCACAGAAAGAATAGTCTTACCAATAGCTGTGGAATGCTCTTTTCCTTTCCACCCTTCACGTAGTTGCACATCCACACGACTAATGTTGTGATTATGGCCGTCAGAAGAGCAGCACTCACAAGAAGCCATGGCAAAAGCCTGAGAGGATCACCTGAGGGACAAAAGAGTTGGTGTCATATACCAATTCGGGAAAACACAACAAATCTCTAACATCAGATGCCCTCAAGTGCCTTAAAACAGCGAGAAAAATTCACATTGTGACACACAAGTTTCAGCATGTTGTCAGCGAGTCACTGTGGCATGCATTTGTGACGTAGGGCTGTTGATGTACCGGTATATATAAGTACTTTCCAGAAATACTCAGATGTTGAGTAACAGGAACTTCCCAACAGAAACAAACACAGCAACCTATAGATGTGGATTTCCCCTCTTCAGAAATATGAGAGCTATGGCTTTTAAAGTTGGAACTGCTTGTGCACCTGTGTAATATTATCAAAGTAAAATGTTGCATGTAGTTGTTTAAATGAGTTACCGTCAGTGTTAGTGGTAAAGAATATACAACAAGGCTAACTAAGGCGAGAAGAACATCACCTTTGCAAACAGCCTAATCTAATCTCCTGTCTCATCACAGCAACAGAAGAGGGAGAGGCCACTGCCAAGAGACCATTTCCCTTGAAAAAGCACTCCATTTGTTTTTACTATCATCTAAGAGTTTACAAGATCATTTCTACAGGCTTTGATTCACAGTACATTATACATCGCCATTGTGGCTAATATCAATAATCAAAAAAACAGAGTCTGCCTGGTTTTGACTAGTAAATTTACTTTTTATACTGTGACAGTGAGGATTTGTGCAGATGCATGCATCTAAAAAGGGGACTGATTTATAAGAAACTGTCTTGATATATTTCCAAACACTAGTTTCCAAGTGGCTGCAATCACTTGAGGAGATGAGCGTAAACTATAGAGTCAAACATAGAACACGCAACATTTTCAACGATCAGTCTTGCATTTTCTCCACAGCAGGTGGGTCCTTGAAAACTTTCCAGTAAGATGCTGAGTGCCACAATGTTGCCTCAAGTAAAAATTAAGCTTTAGTAAATATGATGAGCGTAAATCTGCTCCCTTCAGTCAAGTTTAAGTAATGTAAATAAAGTCTATTATTAACTTCATCCATTAAAAATCGTCAAGTGATTTTCACATTATATAGAAAGAGATTATTGTGGATAAAATGTAAGAAAACACACATGTATTAACAATTAAATCACCCACACCTCAAATTTGTATCAAATATTGCGAATATAATTTGCCAAATGCATATCTTAGCAATTAATGCCCAATATTAATGTGCTGGTAAGTATATTGTGCACTTTTAGAAGAGTGTGTGAGAAGATAATTATTTTCAGCATTGTCCTCACCTGGCAGTGTGACACAGAAGGAGGCACGCTCACTCTCTGAGCGACCCCATTCAGCTGCGGGCTTGTACGACACGTAGCCGCAGTACTCAGTTTGGTTGTTCGTAACGCTGATGATAAACCGGCCTGTTGTGGCTTCATTAACCTGAAGACAGAAAGCGACATTTGGATGGTAACTGATTTAGCCATTGCTGGTTTTATGGGTCAGATAAACAAGAATACTCTGGAAAATCCAGAAACATATCATCGCAATAAGAACAAACAAAACACTTTCATGAGACGGACAAACCTGTGGGCAGAATGATGCACAGGAGCAACTCTACAACATCGCAGTTTAAAGACCAAATCCTTTTATCTTATTGAACTTAAATTCCATAGATAGATTATTTAGTTTTTCTCAATAATTAAAAAAAATCGTAATTGTCATGTTAATTGAAAAAATAGGCCCGTTGTCACTGCTATGTAAACATACAGTCGACAGCATCTGAAAATGTTTTTGGTATTATATCATATGATATGGGATGGCTTGTATGATGATATAATGTTTGTTCAGTATATTCTATTGTTTAAATGGAGACTCACCTGTGCAGCCCATGTTGGGTGGGTGATTTCTAAGGTATATTTAATGGTTACAGTTTTGTGAGGCCCATTTTTGCTCCTGGTGATGATGTCAGCAACGGAGACTCCGTTTGGCCCCAAGGGCAGCGTCACATTAACATGCAAGGACGACACTGTTGGGTGTGTCGACAAAATGGGTGGACCAAGAATAGCTATGGAGGCAAAGAAAGTTGAATGAATCAACGTTGCAATATAATACATCTGGCTTAGCAGGAAGTAAAGAAATGCATGGATGAGCGTGGAGATTCTTACTTTCTGCTATAGGTGTTAACCTGTTGGTGCTGCCATATAAGTGACCGTTACAGTACACCTGAGCCCGGTAGTGAACGTCATGAATTGATGGGGTTTCTGCAGTCAGGTCACAGGACAGAGCAGTAATGTTTTCACACTCCTCTTTTATCTGGTATTGCTCCGTAGCATCACTATAAAAAGTGCAGCACAGTGTGATCAAACTGTGATACTGGAACCACTTGATCATGGCAGTGTATAACTGTTTACCAAAACAAAAACCCAACATGTGCTGTGTGCAGTTAAATCAACCCTTCGATACAGTTTTTTATTCACTAGATTACGTAAGTCACAGACTTCCAAAAGATAAATATTATTATGTATTTTTTACTATACTTTGGTGTGGACATTTTGGCACTGAGACAGTTCTGTGCAGTACATGGCTACAGTGAAACAAACACTCAAAGATCATCCTGACCATACCAAATCAGCCATTCATCACTGGAACACACAGTTCCTTTTTGCCGGAGACAAATTACAATATTTTGTTGTAACCAGGAACCAATATTCAGGGAGTATAGTTAAACCAGTCTTCCTCTGCAGCTGATTTGATGCTGGAAGTCAGTGCAAGCCCTGCTTATGACCGGGAACGGGACCTATAGCTCTTCTTTATCGTCAAAGCAGTTGGTGGTTTAGTTGAATCCAAGCAGCAGCATGGTACGCTTAGCTGCGTGCTAGTTTTTGAGTAAAACATTTATACAGCCACTAGCCATTTCTATAAGAGAGCGAGGGATTAGAGGCTGCAAATGAAAGCCAGAAATGCACCTGGTAGTTACCTCCCCACAAGATGCAAATCCTAGATCTCAAAGGATAAGGCTGGCTATTGTTGTTATTTTCAACAAATCCCATGAAAAGACCAAAACTAACAATGACTTTACTAAATTGTCTGTGGCTCTCAACCCCAAATCTAATTGTTCCTAGTGTAGACGTCAATCTAAACAAACTTCAATCTAGATTCGTTAATCTAAACAAACAAACTTTGTTAGCTTTCAATAGCACCAGACATCTTTTAACTAAAATAAAAATCGTAATCAGCTTGAGATGTTACTATAATGAAAAAAATTGTAAAATGCAATGTGTGATTCGAGTCTACAAAATGCTCATTTTACACTCTAGCGCTTTGACATGGACACTGACACAATGAGCAAACCAGGTGTTTACCCTGCAAACACATTCTTCCTGCTTTGACCCACCTCCATATAAATCTCAAGCTGCAAGAGGGTAATGGGAGTAAAGGTGTAATTATGATCACTCATCCGTCATCTTAGCTCTTACCTCCAGTACTGGACGCTATAGAGGACCTTTTCCCCAGGGACGGTCGGCTCCACGAGGTGCCAGTGGAGTACATTGAAAAAGTTCCTTGAGTCAAAATGCACTTTGTCATCGCCAGTCGAAAGACAAGCTGTAGGACAAATGGGCACAAGAGCAAAGTCTGTAAATCATTTCATGTCGAATGCTAATGTGGTGTCCATGTTCTCATGAGCCTGGTTTCATTTTCACAATATCTGTAAAATTCATAAATCCAAATCGATAACATAATACAGTTTTAGTTTTTGTACTTTGTGCTAAATTACAAGTAAGTAAGAATGCTATTCTCTACTGTAACAAGAGCCGTATACAGCCTTCTGCACTCTAGCTTTCATCGACTGAATGTTGCAACCGGAATTTTACAGCGCATACTTTAAAAAACGTTCATGCCCGAGCATCCTCAGGCAGTGCAGCTCCCCAATATATGGAGTGTTAGTATAGCTGCTAAGGGCCTGGGCGATACAGCACACATACACTGGAACCAGAACCACAAAGAGATTATGTAAGATGGACTTGCTTCTGCTGATGGCTAAAACTAAAAACTGCGTTTTGTTCTTTGATACAAGAAAATAATTGCCCCCCTTCTCGTGCTGGCATACAGGAAAGGGATGCAGAACATCATCCTGTATTTAATAGCTTGAGTTATTCATATGTAGATCATATTTTCATGATACAAAGCCATATATTCAGAGCTATGTGATTTACCAAATCGCTGCATATTACAATTTTAATGTTATTGCCCATGCTGTGTATTGACGATGTGAAAATTACACACAGTTAATCTAAAATTAGCATTCTTATAAGCTGTGCAACGTTATAGACAACATTACATCTGCTAGACTCTAAAATGAAATTGCATTTTCCATCGATCCCATGTGTTCTGGGACTCTCCATTTCAAATGAGAGGGAATCACTCTCTGTCAAAAACATTGCTTGGTTTTATTACGTTGGCGTTATTATTTATTTCTCCTATTGGGACTGTTTTGTCAAAAAAAAATGGCCCATTAAATGTTTGACTGCCTGTTACCAACATCTGTAGTTTAAAACATAAATCCATATTAGCTCCTCTGTACTCACCATAGCAGAACAGGAGGAGGGTGATGACCTTCATAGACCACATCTTCATTAGGTATGTAGATCAAAAACAGAAAAACAAAGTCTGAAACTCTGAAGCTGCCGCCGCTAAGTCGTAGCTTCCAAACAAAAGCAACACATAATACACGCCACAAAGAAAATCACAACTAAATCTAAACAAAAACCCTCTTATCGCCAAAATTCCTCAAAACAAAAGCAGAGTCAGTGTCAAAAGGTCCGTAAAATATAAAAGTTGGATAGGGTTTTAGTGCGTTTTTCTGGCCTCTGCCTCTCAACCATCTCTAATGCGTCCTGGGAAAGGAGTGGCTTTACTCAGGTGTGCAGGTGTACTTTGGCACATGTTATTACTTTGTTCCTGTTTTTCAGCTTACTGTATGTTCCGCCCACTTGCATTCTATCTCCAGATACTCTACTTCCCTTTTCCTCCCTTTACCTCCTCCTTTCTTCTCCACCTTGAGTATCTCTCTCTCTCTCTCTCTCTCTCTCTCTCTCTCTCTCTCTCTTTCTCTCTCTCTCTCTCTCTCTCTCTCTCTCTCTCGCTGCTCGTTTTTCAGGTTATTTCTGTTTTGTAGAGTTTATGGGAAATGAACAAGACTTTCAACTGCAAAAGACCGAAAGTGAAAGAACATGTTTATACACACATGGGGTACACAAACTGCACCGTTGGGAAATCCGGAGCGCTGTTGGAATTTTCCGTTCGGTTAGTCAGAGAACTACACTCTCGGAGAGGTGGAGCGTAATCGGGTCACTGGAAAGTTGTTTGCCATGCTATTTAATAAAACGTTTAGCTAAACTGACTCATTCATTTTACATTTTCACTACATTAGCAATAGCCAACGTTTTCTGACTTATTTTCTATATTTTCTATTTTCCATCTATTTTAACTATAGAAAAAGTGTACAGTAGGAACGTTTTTAGTACCCGTTTGGTTATTTATATAGAAATCGAACACTCAGTTTCTTTGAACATCATTGCTCTAATTTTAGTGTTGGGCGTCAGATTGGATTTACCAACGCACGCATGGTGACTAAGGTGTGTATATCTGGTTCTAAGGCCATTGTGTAGAACCTGATGTTGGCTCAACGACAATATTATTACACAGTTTTGGTAACGAGCAAATGAGTCATTTATGTTCCTGTGTTGTAGTAATTATAGTATTAGAGTAAAGAGTTGTAATGCCCAGGGAGACGTGCCCTTGTTGTGTCCTGGTGTAAACCTCATATGCAGACTAAATACGAGTTTTCACTCTAATTATTTATTTGCTTGTGTACACAGAAATAAAATCAAAGGCCTGTCTAATGGTTGTCAGGTGTGTCAGGTGTAGTCATAATCAAAGTTAATGTCAAATCAGGAGCCTGTTTAGTAAGACGTCATATCCCAGCTTAAAGTTGCATGGCTAGCTGCTATACAGTACCAAAAGTTTGAGAATGGTTGAAAAAACACTTGCTGGGTATCTTGTCACTTATCAATATTAGATTAAACCAATATATGCTATTTGATAAGAATCAGGAAAATAACAAATACAAACAAATTGCTGTATGTAAACGATAAACGTGCATGTTACATGTCAAGTAACATTTTCAATGTCATGCTGCTTGTCAACCCAAGTAACAACAACAAAACAAGTTTAATAAAATGTTTTTTACTACTGCAACATTTACAAAAAAAAAGACAAGAAATAGTTGAAGACGGTACACTGTGGTTTGTTCGGGTGGGACATTTCTCCATCAAAAAAGTACTTAACCAAGGTTTGAGGTGAACAGGTGGAATTTGTCTTGCAAACAAATAAATAGGTTCATCCATAACTATATACTATTATAGATGATTCTCTTGTCAGACATTTTGACTTGGCATGTCAGAAAATACACAGTAAATGGATAATGAGTGTTTCATTTAATTGTCTCAATAGGCTTGCATACACTTAGAGCTCTGGCACTGGAACACCTGCTGTGAATGGAATGCAGCTATTATCAGTGTTATTAGATACACCTGTGTCAGGTGTCAACGCCTCACACAGTCGTGAGAGAAGAGTATCGAGTGAACAGATGCACTGTTTAAAGAGTGGATTTACGTCTTGATGAAGTGACACATTTGAGGATGTTTTATTTAAATTCTACTTGGTGTATGTATGTGGACACCCAACATTAAACAGAAATGGTGACAGAAATGTTTGTGATACGTATATCATGAAGCTGTCAAGTAAATTATAATGAAAAGCATTACTTCTTGCAAACAGGGTCACCCACTGTGTGCAGCTCCTGACATGGATTGAGCAAAACAACGGGTTCATAAAGATTACATTTAGGAGATTCTGAAGTCTGTGGGTGTTTACAAATACAACAAAAGGCTGATTTAAACCCCCTGCTTGCCCTTAAATTGTCTGGTTCTTTTTTGACACCTTTTGTTCTGTAGCTATGACACTTTAGCTACATTTATATAGTATATATTATATTTTATTGGGGTTGCAGAGTTGCTCAGAGTTTATGCATGCCTTTTGAATCTGTTCAGACGAATTGAAAAATGTTTTCTTAGTCAATAACCTATGCCTGATGAATTCAAGCATATCTTATTACATGTTTTTCTGTACAAGTCTGCAAAAGAACTAGTATTCACAAAACTGTTTCTGCATTAAAGTTGGCTTCAATTTTTATTTGAAATACGACTCTGAGATGATATTTATCCTTGAAAGTCGTCCAAAGGTAACTTTGCATTTATTTATTTTACAGCTTGCATGTTTCTTTCAAGGAAATGTTAAAAATGTTTTCTTAATTTTCCTAAACTGGGATTTCCCCCACTGGCTCATTTCCCTGCATGTGTGACTCCTTATCTCTCATATTTCTATGAGTTGTTAGCGGTTCAGCCAAAGTGTTTTTATCTTCTCGTGTCTTAAATGAGAAGTTACATGTTCCACAGTAGAAGTTGATTTAGCTGACTTTAAATTCAGTGTTGAATCTTCTTGTGCTAAATAAACGTGGTTTTAAGCAATAAGCTATGGTCATAATTAGGGTGCTGCTATTCCAGTGTTGATGAACATTGTGTCCATAATTCCCCCTCTACAGCGAGATGTTTAAAGAATACTCCAAGTCAAACCAAAAGAAGCGATCAATCTAATCTCAACCAGATTGACAGACTTTAAATGGAGGAAGTCCTTGTTAAATATGTCACACAACGGCAGACTTTACTCAAATTGCATTTCCAATAATGACATGTAAAGCACAGATTGATTTGTTGCACCAAAGCAGAGACAATCTACTTTACTAAGCTCGTTTAAATCCTTATTGATTTCAGTCTTTTCCTTATATTGCATGTACTGCTCTTTGTGTACACAATCTGTCTTATCATCAGCTGTTTTCAGTTGGTTATGGTCAGTGACACCTTATTATAGCCAATAACATCCTGCAGTGATTTGCTCCGATGGTTGATTTTAATTAGGCTGATGTTTGACTACTCTCCTGTAACAGCCGTCATCACCATATGCCACCTGGCTGCTAAATAATAAAGGCCCTGCCTCACTTGTAAACCATTGATATCACGTTGGCTTTAAATAGTACCTGTTGACCTGTTTTACACATAGAAGCTCAGTATGTGATGTGCTCGGCCTGCAGTTGGCTAAACTTGTGAGAACACAGTTTCTACATACCAAAAATGGACACTGTAATAGTTTCCTTTATTGTCTTTTGAAAGTCAGGGAATGAATTGGGGTTTTCTGCATTTCGAGAAAATGTATGGTTTGGCTCATTTCAAATTCACAAATACCCAGTTTGGCATTATTTTAGGGCTCATTAACACTGTAATCATGGCTCCGTTTCAAGGCAACATCAGTCATTTTAAAACCAGCACATGAAAACCTTATGAGTTCACTTTGGTTGCAAGCAAAACACAACAATCAATTAAATCCATCCTTTGCTGCACAGTTTGACACCGTCTCCGGTGGCACCTTGTTTTCACTTTACACTTCAGTGAATTTTATATTGCGAGAGAGCCTTTCCTCTTCCCCTTGTCACCAAATTAATTTACAGCGGTGGCATTCCCGAGAGGTAGAAAAGCTTTGATGTTGCTGGACACTAAACTGAGGAGATGTGATGTGGGCTCAAGGACATCATCAATGACTCATCCTTTGCACTGTTGCAGCAAATCAAATGTATCTTGCGTCTCTCACCTCACCAGCCTCTTTGAGTCACAAAGACTGAGCGGCACCTTTGATCTTATTCAGTAAACACGGGTTGGACTGGGCAGACCCTGGATCTGGAGAGACCAGTTTTCTTTTTCAGCAGAAACATTTTGAAGAATCCATCTTTCCCATTTTTACAATTGATGTTTAATTTTGGAGCAGTTCAAACTGTTGTAGAACACATATTTCTTCTCAATGTTATCTACTCTATAACAGCCAAATACAAACTTTTAACGAAAGGAGGGAAAAGAGGAAGATTAAAATGAGTAGAAAATGATGATGCATTGAGCATCAGTAGTTTCCTTTGTGTATTTTGTGACATACCGAGTAACACATTTACTGGAGGCATTGAGGACACAAACAGGCCAAAAGACAGCAGACTCCAATTTTGTGTGATTTTGAGACTGGGGTCTGCTCATATCAGGGATTGGTTGCAGGGAGCGATGGTGATCACAAAGCCTCTACTGCCTGTCCTGTCTCCCCCTGCCACCTCCTCCACCAACAAATATCATCTATCCTCAACTGTCCCCCAAGAGAAATTGATAAAAGTTCATGAAAACCTGACAGATGAGCAACAAAGAAAAGGTCTGTTCCATGCAGTGTTTAGCGTAGGTTATCACTGAGCGCCTGACGAGTCACAAACAGGCAAGAAGGCAAACAGAGAGACGGGCAAACAGACGAGCTGCCAAGTTCACAGACAAAACGAGAACAAGATAAAAATACAGTTCTAAAGATAGGCTGCAAACACACGAGACGGGTAAACAGATCACTCCCTTAAAGACAAGCCAGTGAATTTAAATCAAGGGGATAATCTTTGACAACATATTAATATTAATATGCTCCTGTTAAAAGCACATCGGAGACTGCACAAACAGCTTACCCTGAAACAAAATTAAATAAGATTGCATTATTATTGCATCTGCATTAATGCCCATTTAAATACACAAAGCACCTACAGTATTTATGGATCATTGGAGGCATATTACATAGAATCCAAACATTTGAACTAACCACAGCAGAGCGACGAGGAGGTGTCTATAATGAGGCAAGAATGTGAAAGTTCTGAACAAGTATGGTGCAAAATAGATTCTTCTGAACGACACGCTCACTAATAGCAACATAATGGTGTT